GTGTCGTGCAATGCCCTCGGAGGACAGAAGAGGCTGTCGGATCCCCTGGAAGTGGAGTTAGGACAGTTGCTAGCTGCCATGTGGGTGCTGGGACTCGAACTCAGGTCTTCTGCAAGAACAACCAGTGTTCTCAACCGCTGAGCCATCTCTCCAGCCCCTCAGCTACTTTCTTAAACAGTCCAGGCCTACCTGTCCAGGGATGACACTGCCTACAGTGGACTGGGACCTCCCTCAGCATTAGTAATCAATGAACTCCCCTACAGACATGCCCACAGGCCAGTCTGACAGGGGAAATTTCTCAACTGAAGTTTCTTCTTTCCTGGTGACTTTAGTTTGTGTAAAGCTGATAAAAACTAACCAGTACACAGGCATTTGGCACAGGCCTTTAATCCCAGTACTTGGAAGGCACAGACAGATGGATCTCTGTGAGTTGGAGGCCAACCTGATCTACATAATGAATTCCAGGCCAACCAGGGCTACATAGCAAGATCCTGTCTCAAAAGAAAAAAAAAAGGGGGGGGGGATGAAGATGACAAGAAGAAAAAGAAAATAAAATAGGAAATCATCTTGTAGTGCCTTTCTGGTTGGCCCTCACCTGAATTCCAAACGTGTGGGCAACTGTCTGCTAGCTTTTCCATTGAACTTTGTGAAGCTCAACCCAAACTTAAGCAGCCAGTCCCACCTCCAATCTAATCCTCCTTTACCTGTCCTGCCTACTCCCTGCCTAGTCCCTCTCTTTCTCTCTGTCTCTGTCTCTCTGTCTCTGTCTCTCTCTGTCTCTCTCTCTCTCTCTCTCTCTCTCTCTCTCTCTCTCTCTGTCTCTCTCCCCTCTCTCTCATAGGTCACCCTAAGAAGTCCTGATTCATCTAGAACTCACAGAGATCCATCTGCCTCTTCTTAGGTACCAGGATTAAAGGCCTGTGCCACCAACCCAGTTTAAAAAAAACTTTTTTGAGGGCCAGGAGTAGTGGCATACACCTTTAGTCCCAGCACTCAGGAGGCAGAGGCAGGTGGATCTCTGTAAATTCAAGAGCATCCTAGTCTATATAGTGAGTTTCAGGCCAATCAGGGCTACATAGTGAGACCTTGTCTCAACCCACCCCCTCCCCCCAAATTTTTTTGAGATAGTGTGTTACTAAGCAGTCCAGGCTGCCCTGGACCTCAAGATTCCCCTGTCAACAACTCTTGAGTGCTGCAATTCCAAGCTTGAGCTTCCATGCCCAGCTCCCTTCCCTCATCTTTGAAAAGGCAACAGCAAGGGGCTGGTAAGATGGTCAGTGGGTAAAGGTGCCTGCCACCAAGTCTGAGGACCTGGGTTCGATCCCCAGGACCCACAATGGAGGAAGATAAGAACTGTCTCCTGTATGTTGTTCTTTAACCTTCATATGTGCACAGTGGTGCATGTATGCACACATACATATAAAATAAATAAAATGTAATAAAAAATTTAAAGGCAATAACATTCATTCAATTATCAAATTATATTGACTCCACTTTTACCAGGTATCCAAAACATGATCATTTCTAACCATGGCAACTGTCATCTGTCACCAAATTCAGGAAATGACCTAAGCAATGTCATTACTCTTGCTTTCAACCCTTCAGTCTGTTTTAACCTGGATCCCAAGATGGATCATACATGGAGATGGAGAGATGGCTCAACAGTTAAGAGTACTGTCTACTCTTGTAGAGGACCTGGGTTCAGTTGCCAGCACCCACATGGCAGCTGACACCCATCCTTAACTCCAGTTCCAGGGGATCCAACGCCCTCTACTGACTTCTGTGGGCATTGCACACATGGTGCACTTACATATATGGAGACAAAACACGCATACATAAAAATAAAATCTTTAAGGGGCTGGAGAGATGGCTCAGCAGTTAAGAACATTGGTTGTTTTTGAAGAAGACTCAGGTTCAAATCCCAGCACCCACATGCCATGTTACATGGCAGGTAACAACTGTCTGTAACTCCAGTTCCAGGGGCTCCGACAGCCTCTTCTGACCTCCAAGGGCATTGCATGACACAGGTGCATTTACCTACATGCAGGCAATACACACATACACATAAAATAAAAATAATAAATAAACACGGATCTCTGTGAGTTCAAGGCCAGCCTGGTCTACATAGTGAGTTTCAGGACAGCTGGGGCTACAGGAAGACCCTGTCTCAAAAAGACCAAAAATAAACAAAGAAACAAACAAAAACAAGTAAAATAAAATCTTTAAGAATCCCACATAAAAATAAACTAAGTTGTAATTCCTATGGCTGGAGAGATGGCTCAGTGGTTAAGAGCATTGGCTGGTCTTGCAGAAGACCTGGGTTCAAAATCCAGCACCATACGGTAGCTAACAACTGTCCTTAACTCCAGTTCCAGGGGCTCCAATGCTGCCTTCTGTCCTCCATGGGCATTGCACTTATGCACATGCAGGCAATACACTCATACACATAAAATAATAAAATTTAAAAAATTAAGTTAGCTGGGCATGGTGGAGCACGCCTTTAATCCCATCACTTGGGAGGCAGAGACAGGGTGGATCTCTGTGAGTTCAAGGCCAGCTGGGTCTACATAGGGAGTTCCAGGCCAGCTGGGGCTACAGGGAGACCCTGTCTCAAAAAGACCAAAAAAAAAAAAAAATTAAGTTGTAATTTTCAAGTTCATGGCTCATGCCTGTGACCCCACTCCTTGGGAAACTAAAACAGGAGGACTGCATCAAGTATGAGGCCAGTCTGGGCTATATATTGGGTTGTAGGTGACCCTGGACTCACCTGTAGAGATTCTGTTTAGGGGCTGGGGCATGGGAGGTAGAGCATATACCTAGAATCCCCAGTAAGGGCCTGGGAGTGTGACTCTGGTAGAGCACCTGCCTAGAATCCCCCAGTGAGGGGCTGAGGGCGTGGTTCTGTGGTAGAGTGTCTACCTAGAATCCCCCCCCCCGCCGCCAGTGCCAGTCTTTAAAGAAACACTTTAGAGTGAAAGGCATGCTTTTCATTTCTTCATTCATTTTTCATGCTACCACTTAACATGTCTACGTGAGAGATGCTGGCTAGACACTGTGGCTGACTGTGGGAAGTAGTTGTAGCTCTCTTTCCTGCCATTTCCTCCCATAGCCAGACACTGACTTCTGGGGACCTATCCATGACTCTCTCCAGCACACAGGAAACTCACTAGATCAGAAGGCTTGCAGAAAAAAAAAAACATAAAAAAAAATTTACAACTATAACAGAATGAAGTATAACAATGTTGATATCTGGATGACAGGAAGGGGTTGTGGCTGTCTTCCATGCCAGGCCCTAGTTATCTTGTGCCAGAGTTTCCAGGGAAAAAGAGAAGGCTGGACCTGAATCCCAGCATGCTTGCCAGCCAGCCATCTAACCTGTTCTGAAAGTCTGGAAAAGGTGCCAGGCCCAGACACACTGGGCAACAGGGGGCTGGATCAGATCCAGAACCATACTTTGGCAACCCTAAGGGACAAGGGAGGGGTGGGTGTGCTTGGCTGGGGGTCAAGAAGCTCTGAGCCATTTAGACTCAAAGGACAGCTGAGGGAGGGGAGAATGTGGGAGGTGTCCACTAGTGTGTGTTTGCAATCTTGCAACAAGATGCTAGCAGAGAGCTAAAAGGTGAAAATCTATGGACTGGCAGGACACTCACACCCCTCCACATGTATAGCTAAGATCCTTCCACTGCTCCACAAAGCTGGGCCCCAAGTTGAATGACATCCAGGTTTTTGTTTGTTTGTTTGTTTGTTTTTCTTTTTTTGGTCTTTTTGAGACAGGGTCTCCCTGTAGCTCCAGCTTCCCTGGAACTCACTATGTAGACTAGTAGACCAGGCTGGCCTCCAAAGGCTAGCCTTGAACTCATAGAGATCCACCTGCCTCTGCCTCCCAAGTGCTGGGATTAAAGGTGAGAGCCACCACATCTGACTGGTCTCCAGTTTCTAAATTGGGGAAATAAAACAGCAGCCCTGGTTCGGGAGCTCTGGGGTTGGAACAGGAGGAAAGGGGAAAAGAGGATGTTTGTTAACTCACATTTCACTTTCCCAAAGAGAGGAGGTTCTCACAGCCTGGGGAAGCTGGGCATGGAGACCAAAGGAAGAGGAGTTTCTCGCCTAGGATTGAGTAGGTGAGCTGAGGGAGAAAGCAGTGGGGTGAGTGTGGATAAGACGGCAGAGAGGTGTGAAGCGTAGAGGTGGTTCACTCTGAAGAAGATTTTATTTATTTATTGAGACAAGGTCTCTCTGTAGCTCTAGTTGGTCTGAAACTCACTATGTAGACCAGGTTAGCCTCAGTCTCACAGAGATCTGCCTGCCTCTGCCTCTGCCACTGAGTGCTGGGATTAAAGGTGTGCATCACTGGGCTACATCACAGTTTTAAATTTTCATTTATTTGTTTGTTTGTTTGTTTGTTTGGTGTGTGTGTGTGTGTCTCCATGCCGCAGCCTTCAAGTGGAGGTCAGAGGACAATTTGCTGCATGCAGTCTGTTCTTTCCTTCTACCATACGGTCCCGCTTTATCGGCTAAGTCATCTTGCTGACCCCTAGACGGGGATTTTGAGTTGGAGAAAAGAGATCCCCAAGGCAAAGGAACTCAAAAAGGAAGTTCCGGATCTATTGTGGTGGCTGATGCCTGTAAATCCTGCGTCCCTACTGGAGGCTGAAGCAGGAGAAACAGGAGTTTGAGACTAGCCTGGGATACATGGTGAGAGCCTGACTCAGAAAAAAAGTAGGGTGAGGGGCGTGGTGCCCACTAGACCCAGCACACAGGAGGCAGGTGCAGACAGACCTCTGTGAGTTTAAGGCCAGCCTGGTCTACATAGTGAGTTCCAGGTCAGTCAGGGCTAAATGGTGAGACCCTGTCTCAAAAAACAAAAACAAGAAAATGCAGTGGGTGGGTAGGATTCAAACCTCCAGCAAATCCAGGGAATGGGAAGGACTCTGAGGGTCATGATGGCCAGTCTAGATTAGGGATACTGGGTGGCTGAGTCCAAGGGAGCTGAGGCAGGATAGAGGGAGAGAGGGAGAAAGAGAGAGACAGAGACAGAGAGAGAAACTGGGGCCTCATCGTGGGCAGGACTCACGCGTGGACACACTGGACGCGGTACTGGGTCACGACAGCTGGGTTCGCACCCCTTTGGGGACTCCCAGGATATAGGGGTGGAGCCCTGGGCGTGGCCTAGCTGGGAGAGGACGGGTGATGGGCGTGGCCACCTGGGGCTGGGCCCGGGGGTCCTGGGGACCTGGGCGGGGCCGGGCTGCCGCTGCGCAGCCGCGGGGCGGCATCCGCGCATGCGGGGCTCAGCCGACTACAGCCAGCGCCTGCTGCCACTCCCGGGAGCATGAAGGACCGAACTCAGGAGCTTCGCACGGTGAGTCGGATCCCTGCGCGTCCCTGGCTGGGTGCGCCGCGCATTCTCCGCCCTCACCCCGCAAACCGCCCGGGCGCTTCCCGAGGGGGCCGAGAGGGAGCTTTGCAAGCTTGGGGGACACCACCCCCGCTCTGTGTCCCGCCCCTCAGACCCACTTGGGGTCATCAGCCAGCCTGCTGATGGCTGGAACCTGGGATCTTGGAGAAACTTTTCGTTGCGCTCCGGTTTGGGGTGCGATCGGTGGGCTGTTATGGGGTTTCAGTGGCGGGATGCAAAATCGTGACCTCTCCTCCGCCCGCTCGTCGCCGTTCCCCGCACTGTCCCCTAGAGGCTGAGCCACCTGTCACCCTCCACACACATCCTCCTGCCCAGAGTCACCAGGCGGAAACGCTGCTGCCAGGTGAGGGTGGCCTCCTCCGAGGGAACCGTCTCTTGGGGCGCCCCATCACCTGTGGCTCCCATCACCTGTGGCTCCCCAGCCAGCCTGGTCGCTTTGGGAAATCCTCAGCTTGCCCTGGATGAAAGGGCCCAGCCATACTGACCCTCAGTTCACCTTTGGGCATCCACGCAGCCCAGGCTGGCCTTGCCCAGACCCTTGCTGGATTTGCAGGTCTAACAGTGACCTGGATCTATTTTTCTACCTGTGTGCCAGAGGCCCCTGGGGTGTGGCACTTGGGGCGGGATTTGCCGGTGGGGTAGGAGGATGTAGAAATGTTCTAAGTCAGAACCTGCCATCTTAGTCCTGTTAAGAGCTGCTGACTCTTAACACAGGGGTAAGGATGGGGAGTGGGGGTAGGAGGTGGGGAGTTCCCTTCCTCTGGCCACAGACTTTAGAGGTGTTTAAACAGGAGGGCCAGTGATGAAATTAAGTCAACTCGTGGGAGGATGAATGTGCCTTGTGTCAGATTGTCTCATTTGAGCCCTACCCGACCACCCTCCTGGCAAGTCCCACCCATTGATTTCTGGGAGCACCTCTCCTCCAGCTAGGTGGCTTCCCAGAACCCTCCTCTTGTGTCCACTCAGGTTTTCCTCAAGTTGTCTTTGGGCTTGTGACCTAATGACTGTGCTCTCTGCCTAGAGACTCCTCCAGTTTGTTCCTGGGTCACCCCCACCACAATACCAATCTTGCTTTCCCCTGTTCCACCTTTAGACTGACCCTTGATTGCTTTCAGATTAGTAGAATTCTTGGCCTAGTGCCCAGCCCCTTGTATAAATCTCATGAGTTTTCAAAAGAAATTATATATGATCTCAAAACAGTTCCCCCACCAGCCCCTTGGGGTTGCCCTCAAGTTTGCTGCATTGCCCTTTAATTTTATAACAT